CATCTTGCTTTAGTAATCTTTATGATTTTGTGGTCAAATTTGGATGTTTTTCTTTTAATTTTAATATATATTATTAATTATTAAATATAATCAAAACAAAGAGAACATATTTAAATGTGGATGATTTGAAATCCATACTTGATTGTGATATCCTTTGCCATTTGAGTTGCTTGAAAACAATAAAACTTCTTTTGTAAATATGCATATTACTATACCTTTGTTGATTCATATTTGTCACGCAAAGTTATAATTCATAGTGTTATTATATTTTTGACGAGTTCTAAAATATTTGCAGTTAAGATTTTATAAAATTATATAATGTGTAACAATAAAAATTTTGAACGAGGGAGGAGGCAAAAGTCAATGCACATAGAAAAAAAAAAAAAAAAAAAATCAGAGGAATTGAATATCGACAAACGTGTTTTGAATGTCAACATTAATAGGTAGAGGTCCTGTCATATAGCGATGAGTGGAGAGTAGTCATCTGTAAACTGTACGGGTAAAAGGGCACAACTGACATTTCACACCAGCCATGATCAAGCTCACACTTTAGGGCATCTCCAAAGCGTGAAGAGTAGTCACTTTGTAAAACCGTACGACAAAAGGGCACCACCGATATTTCCCATAATATTGAAGTCAAGCAAATTACATATTTGGTCCTTGTGGTTTTCTTCAATCTATACTTTTAGCCCAATTTTTTTTTAAAGTAATATGCCTGATTTCCTAGGTTTTCAAATCTTGCATTGGAGGTCCCTGAGTTGGTTACCATCAATGGGACCCGGTTAAATATGTGTAAAAATTACAAAATACTATAATTTTGTCCTTTTCTGACTTTATCTGTATTATTATTATTGATCTTTTACACATGAGGGATCGTTTCTGTAAATTATTGAAAACTCTCTTAAAGGCCTAGAAATTTCAGTTGACCGATTATCTGTATCTCTTCTAATCAGGGTTCAAGCTGGCCTCTGATGTCTGCAATCTATCGTTGAAACTCCTTCGATCCTGACTTCACCAACAACTCACAATCAAAATGGATCAGCAACAACATTCTCTATTCTTTGGAACCTAAATAGCCTTAATCTCATTAATATATGTCTCTTCTATTCATGGTTCAACCGAACCTACAACTTTGGCCACCTCCCTGCGTCACCCTCTCTCGAACTCCAATAGTTTCCAATATTGGTTAAACCATGGACAAACACCTCTTCTAAACCACAACTCCACTCCGTCACCTCACATCCAATAACTGCAAATCCATCCATGACATGCCTTTTTTGCCTCACCTCCTCCCCTACACCATGACTTCAACCCACCGAATTTGTAACATCCCGATTTTCAGGTATTTTAATATTCCTTGTATCTTTATTATAAATGGCACTTTTGGTCCCTTGGAAGAAAAGTTTCACGATTTTAGTCGTACGTTGGACGTACATAAGGGTACGCGTAACGTACCCATGCAAACTGAGGACCAGGGGTGGGCAGCTAGTACGTTGGGCGTACGTGTGGTACACCGAGCATACTATCCCAGACCCAAAACCCTACTTTCTTAGTTGCTCCCTATATAAAGAACATTAAGTTCTCTTTTGGTCACCCTTATTAGCCTCCAAACCTTCCCTAAACCCCAATACCTAGTTTGGATGTTTGTATGAGCCTTTCAAGTTCATTTGGGTGCTTTTGGTGCATTTAGTTGAAGAAGGAAGCTATATAAGAAGAAGGGGGTGTTAGCAAGCTTATAGATCCAGAAAACATCCCTCATTGTGCATCATTTTTAGGTATAAAGTTTGTACATTGACAAGTCTTTCATTAGATCTCTATATTTGAAGTTTTAAGAGTTTTATCTGCAAAGATTGGACCTTTTTGAGTTTGGGGCACTCCAGGGGTTTGTAGTTGTCCTTTCATGTATTATGAGGCTTGTGGATGCATAAAAATGGCAGCTTGATCACTTCTTTTAGTTCATGCATGAGCAAAATAACTTAGAATGTGTTTGGAGTTTATGAATATTGCTTTGGGACTTTTCTAGCCATGCAAAGGCTTAAAGTTGATAACTTTATGGTTTTAAACATCTTAAAATGGCCAGATCTATGTTTCGGAGTAATTGTCTTAAGGGTTTAAGACACAAGTTGGTAGAAATGGGAACAAACGAAGTACGCTGGGCGTACTCCTGGCTACCCCCCCGCGTAGCCAATCCTAGCCCCATCATTTCGTTGATCTAGGTTGTACGCCCCGCGTAGGTTATTGTACGCTCAACATACGCACAGGGTGTTGACTTTTTTTGACTTTGCCCCTTGGTCAAGATTTAGGGTTTTTGGACCATGAGAAGGGAAAAATAGTCCTTTTGCCCTTAGAAGGTTTAGTCGTGGAAATTGGACTCGCAAGTGAGTTTTTGGACCCTAATTATTAATTAGGGTTAATTATTTTGTTGACTAGGTCCGAGTCTTGATCCGGTCGTTTGGGTGCTAGGTTTTCGTGTCATCATTATCAGGTGAGTCTCCTCACTCACTTATCCTCAGTTAACCATGACCTATCATGGCCACTCGATCCAGCTCCTTACTCGAATCTCCTCATAACCACCATACTGAAAATAAACCATACATTATCAGATGAGATGCATTTAGGGATGAGCATTTGGACCGGGGAACCGACTGGAATCGATACCGAAACCAGAATCGATGGAACCGGCCGAGCTAGGACCGAGATGATACTCATGTGGATTTTTGGAATTGGGAACCGGTAGAACTGTACCCGGTAGAAACTGGAAAAAACCGGTAGAATCGGCAAAAACCGGAACTGTATGTTGCTATTTCTTGATGACCGGTTCCAACATTGAAGACACGATAAGAACCGGGAACCGGTAGAACCGGCGGTCCGATCTGGTTCTTAATTTCGGCCGACTTCGGTTCCTAGGTCGGGTTCGGTTCGGGCCGGTTCCAGCTGGGTCGTTGTGACTTCCTTGTTATGCGTACGGGTCCTGTGCTTCCAGTAGTATGGGCCTATACTACCTTCTACACCTACCCATATTTTTCTTAGAAGATCATCACAAAAACCCTAATAGCACACACTAGAACACACATACATCCTATTCTCACTCCCTAGAGAAACGCTAGACATTCCTCAACTGGATGGCTGCTCTCACATAACTCATCCATGAAACTTCCACCAACCCTACAACACTCGTGTATGCTAGTCATACATAACATTGGATCCTATAGACAGTCGAATACCTGATTCTAACCTATGCCCTTCATCAAACAAGAATAGGAAATAAGGATAAACTAAACATTCTATAGCTATAGAATCTTAGTTATCTACAATTATAATGCATACACTAAGCAACTACAATAATGATGTCAATTCCATACAAGAAAGAAATCCTAGTTTATCAAGCATCAATTATTAGGCATTTCTATCATGCAATTCCTAAAGATCCCCAGCCTATCACTAGCTTATTGTTCTAAAATAAACATAATATCAAATAACAGTGTGGGTAACTTGGGTATACTTCTTGCTACGACTGATTGTACACATCACATCCTTCCTTGTTTACTTTTGAAAACAATTTTTGAAAATTAGTTTAAAAACTTTTGCAGTTCCTTAGTTTGTGTCTGGATTCACACGAATGCTCATCTAATTCTCTCAAACCAAGGCTCTAATACCAGCTTGTAACACTTAATAATCACAATAAATTTAATATTTTCAAAATTAAACATTAATCAACACTGTTTTCAAAAACAGTCATTGTTTCAGAAGCATTATTTAAAATCAAAAATTTCCCAAGACCTAGTGACATAAAACAGGAAATTGTGTACAATCACGCCTTTGCCTTTCCACGATCCTTTGAAGCACCTAAAACGATAAACTAAAAATTGTAAGCCAAAGCATAGTGAGTTCCCCCAAAGTACCAGCACACACACATACACACACACACACACACACACACATATATATATATATATATATATATATATATATATATATATATATATATATATATATATATATATATATATAACGACATATACAATGTCAATAACTAGAAAGACTGGATTACCCCAGAGCGCACATAATGGGTTTGGGATGCCAATCGATCCCTCCGATCATATTTGGAATTCCCCCAAGCCCTTAATATGATTCTGGCATGCCAATCGAGCCCTCAGCTCATATCTAGAATGCTCCCAGGTTTGTTGGCTACATCACAAAGCAGTACTAACTTAACCCAATACAATATGTCGACATGTGCAATAGATAAACATAAACATAGAACCAGAAAATACAGATAATCATGCAGATCTACTAATCAGCCACAAACTAGCGTAATACTATCCTAATTAGGATAAAGACAAAACTGCAAATTTAGTCCCTGTGGTACTCAAAAAACTTTGGATAGGGTTGAAAAAGTTTTCAACTTTCATGGAAGGTCCAAAATCAAGGTTTTTTTTTGGGTTTTTGGTCCAAAAAAACTTAAAAAGACGGTTATGCCCTTTTTATTTCTTTTTTCCTTTTTCTATAAGTATTTTAATGATATTTTCACTTTAAAAAAAGGAAAAAAGAATTTTCCACCCCTACCCCACCGTACTCTATCTCCCTCCTGTTACTCTCTCTCTTTCTTTCTCTCTCTCTCTCTCTGTCTCTTTCTCTCTCTCTCTCTCTCTCTCTCTATCCCTCTATCTTTGAATCTTTCTCTCTCTTTTCAATAGTTGAACTATTTGAAACCAAACATTAAACATGGCGAATTTTCTGATGATGAAGATAAAGTTATATGTGTCCTCTTTGCTAGCATTGGTAGCAGGTCCATTTCTCTTTCAAGATTCTATATTAAGGGCGATTTTGTGATATTTAGCACGCAAAAATGGAGATTTTTGTCAAAATCTCTCAGATGTGAATATATATGCAAAAATCTAAAAGTTTGAATAATTAATATGCAGGTAGTCAATAATGGCAACATAGTTATCGACAGACAATGATATCAAGAACTACTGGAACACAAATTGAAGAAGAAGATGATGAACAACTTAATCACCCTACCCGAACTTAGAAAACCTCTTCAACATCTTCAATGTTTCAGTTCTTCAACAAACTACAGCTACCCATCACAATCGATTTTTCAAAATAGTAATATCGATGTTAATGCTCCATTATCATCATCAATATCATCGTCTCCATTGTATTTGTACAGTCCAAATACTTCTAGCTACCATGATCAAACCTTATCTATCCCATCTAGCCCTAGAATTAATGTTGCTAATCGTCAACATCCAGTTCTCCAATCATAAGATCATGGATTTCTCGGTCTGCTTTCCATGGAGACTTACCAGCAGGAGGTAAAAGATAGTTCTACCCTTGTCTTCTTTGGAGGTGATCAAGCTAGTTGCAGTTCTATTTCCGATGGGAGCTGCCATTATGAGTATCGTAGTACTGTTGGTGTGTATGATCAACATCGTAACAACTTGAGTGAATCTTACAAGGAATTTGATGGGCATTATGATAAGGAAAAAGGGTATTATAAGTATTCTTCATTAGACTCCAGTCTTGAGGAGATCAAGTAGATGAGAGAGAAAGAGTCAAAGAGAAAGAGAGAGGGTGTGTGTGTGTGTGTGTGAGAGAGAGAGAGAGAGAGAGAGAAAGAGAGAGAGAGAGAGTACGGTGGGTGGGGGTGGAATTTTTTTTGTCTTTTTTTTAAAGTCAAAATAGCATTAAAATACTTATAGAAAAAGGAAAAAAAATAAAAAGGGCATAACCGTCTTTTTAAGTTTTTTTGGACCAAAACCCAGAAAAACCGTGATTTTGGATCTTCCATGCAAGTTGAAAACTTTTTGGACCCTATCCAAAGTTTTTTTTGAATACCACAGGGACCAAATTTGTAGTTTTGTCCAGGATAAATAATCTAGTAGGCCAACTTTGGTGCCTTCGATCCACTGTACACTGAGAAGAATCTCATCTCATAGTCTGACGAATAACTGAACAATAAACTGCTCCAAATACCGGCTTTACAAGTCACATATTCAACAGATAGAGACCAAGGCTTATTTATAGTTCAAAATACCCAAAATACCCTTAAGTTAAACTTGGTCAACCCCGGTCAAAGTCAAAGTCAAGGGTCAAGGTCCAAAAGTAAACATTTCTTCCCAGTGGAGTATGTCCTCCATACCAAGAGAGTAAGCCCAACATACTCTGATGTTGGCCAAAAATGGAGCGTTGACCGCGTACGTGCAATGTACCACCAGGTACGCCCAACATACACAGCCCAATCCCCAAACTCCATTAAGAGCTTATTCCATTAAGACCTTATGTCTAACACTCATATCCAAGCCTAAAATGATGTCCTAAATCATAAACTTTCCAACTTTATGACTTTACATGGCTATAAAGTGATAAATGTCCAAAAACCGAAGTTCTTAACCTAATAAGACCATCTAACACATGCATGGGTTACATACAACACTCAAGATAATATTTTTATGCATCACAACACTCTGTAATTTCTAAAAGGATGGCTCAAATGACTTAGAGTACCACATACTCATAATGCCAAGTTAATGGGACCAAAATATTCACAACTTCAAGGCTAACAAGATCTTAAACAAATCATCATCAAATTCAGAGTTTTTACCTTAAAATGATGCCAAATGGTGATGAGATTTTGGATCTAAGGTGCCTCACTCATCTAAGGAAATTCTCTCTTCTTCTCCTTCCTTCTAAATAACCAAAAGTACCCATAAAATCTCAAGAACACTCTCAAGGAGGATTAAGGTTCTAGATGGATGAAATGGTAAGTGGAGGCTGAAGAGTGAATGAGAAATGAGCAGTTAATGATATTTATATATGGACCAAACCCTGAAAATTAGGGTTTGAGGATCCTTCACATATGCCCAACATACTAAGGTCCGTTCTAGTATGCCTAATATACACAAAGTACTCCCATCATACTAAGTCTTAGGCTAAAATCACCAAAATGCCACTACGGGTCATTTTTGCAATCTTTCTCATGTACAAGGGTCAAAATGCAATATTCCTTCATATATAGGGTTAAAATTTTAAATACCTCATCATCGGGATGTTACAGATAAGAAACACAAGGAATTTATAGTCCCTTCTTCTACTCCCACAAGGTGTATCATATTGCACACCACAGACTCTCAATAGTATGGGATGATAATAGACCTCCTGTCTGGTAAGAGGAACCCAAATTTAAACATTCATCTCCTTAAGGAGAAGGTGTCACAAAAGTTAAGGGGTTAAGTTTCCTTCCACAACCATATCTTCTCAACAAGGTGTTGGGTTTACTTCATCCATTCATCCCTAAACGAACATCATGTTAGGTAAATCTTTCTTGAATCCATAAGAGAAATTATTATTCATTTATGCACACACACTTCAAATCTAAAGCCTCTGCTTCGGATACAACTTATGTTTCCATAACTTTAGATATATCCAGAGGAAATTCTGTCACACCCCCAAACTGGAACGGCGGAAATGTTCGGGGGTGGAGGACGTCATGTACAGTATCACAACAATTGTATAATAGGAATCAAAGCAAACACAACCATTACATTGATAAAGTAAAGTATTTACATAAGTTCAATACATAGTCTGTATGACATGAAAAGTGTATAGCAAAATTATAAAAGATGTGACTCTACAAAGCTCCGTCTTCTCAAAACATATGGGTGTACCTGTCTACTGGTTGCCTAAGAATACAAGTGGTTTTGAAAGTGTTTCAACATTTAAGTTAGCGAGTTCATAATCATGTTTTTGAGATGGAAAGCTTGTCTTTGTTCCTTGAAAATGTTATAGTGTACTTCCAGAAAATCCAATATTTTCTTTAGTGAATGAAGTGTAGTCTTAGGCCTTAAGACCAAAATGTATGTAGTTACCGTATTCTGAAGTAGTAAACTGTAGTCTTATTAGTAAATAAAACTATATCATGAATTTTTCTTGAAATTGTATGTTGGATTAGTCTACTTTGTACTAGAAAAGTAGTATACTATAGTAGTGTCTGTAGTAGTGTTTGTATGAAAACCTTCTTGTATGAGTGCCTGGAATCCACCAGCTATAGTGTACTGTAGTTTTATTATTTAAAATAAAACCTTTGAAGTAGTGTTAATCCCGTAAACAAATGGTTCAGTTAATACTATTGTGAGTTTCATATAACCATGCTAATCTGACTAGTAGCCTCTACGACATTCTCCAGGCATCAGAATGTTATGATGTTTGTCACCCCAGACCTCCCGCCCTAACTGTAGCTAACAATTTAGGTGTGGGATTGTCAGTCCCATATAGATCTATACATAAAGTCATGCTCTCCCTCCAGGAGACTCTAGTTATAATTTATAGGAGTTGGACCTGTAACCTAACAATATAATTAAAGTAATGTCTCACAACCCTGTATTAACTAGTTTATGTGTAGTGTTATAGTGTTCACTTGTACTTGAAATTGTATGTATCACCTCGTAGTAGTGTACTTTGTAATGTAAAATAATTATACTTAAATAATTATTTAGTAGTATATCCTTGAATAAGTAAAATAGAATAGTGTTCCATAAACTATACCTATTATAGTTTATATTCTTGTTTCGGAATAGTGTTCTTGATTTTGCAAAATGGTGTAATGTATCCAAAACTATACCTATTATAGTTTAAAAGTATGTTCTTGTATTGTTTCTTGGACTTAGTAAAATAGTGTAGTGGTTCACAAACTATACAAATTATATTTTAAATGTATGCTCTGTAATGTATTGAAAACCTTTACAATTTAACTGTGCGTATAAAGTGGTAGCAATAGATTTGTGAAAAATACTCTTTTGCTCGACATGTTACAAAAGGGTTATATATATATATATATATATATATATATATATATATATATATATATATATATATATATATATATTTAAAATGCAGCGAAAAATTGGTTTGAAACAATTGGAAACGGTTTCAAATCGCTTGAATAAAAACACAAGCGTCCTTGTGTTTTACTTGTATTCTCTCCTGAAAACATTGAAAAATAGTGAAAACGTAGGGGTATGAACTCACCTCTAGTGTGTTTTCGAGTCTGGATAGCGGAACCGTAGAGGTGATCCTCGAGCTAGTGTACGTGGAAATAACAGTATCCTAATAATATTTAAACACATAATCGTATTTAAATTAGCAAAATAATTAACTAAAGTGCTAAACAACACTTAATTTATGTAAGGATTACTTACAAAAACATCCGAGAATTATTTTGGAGTGATGGTAAAGGTGTTCGGTCTATCCTTCACCGAAATCCCTTGATTTCGGTCATAAAGCCTCAACCGAGAACCAAGTTCACAGTCTTAAAGGGGTCTCGGTCTGAGTGAGCTCTCAGTCCAAAGGGTTTTCGGTTAGCTTCAAGATTTGAAGATTATTCTTGGTGTTGTTGGTGAAAATTTATGAAGATTTGAATGATTTTGCTTGAAGGTATGAAGGTATTGGATGATACTTGAGAGCAAAATGAGTGTGTTTTTGGTTGGAAAAGTGAGAAATGACTCAAGTTTACGAGTGAAGTTATGTATTTCGAGAGGGTTTTCGGTTGGAAGGGGGTTTCGGTGTGAAGGTTCTCGGTTCCAAAGGGAAAAGTTTTGATTTTTTAGTGCATTTTATTCCTTTAAAATAAAATACTTATATATATATATATATATATATATATAATATATATATATATATATATATATATATATATATATATATATAAACATCATTTATATAATTTAAATCATATTTAACCCTTATGAACTTACGAAATAAATAAAGCTCGTAACTTTATTTAAAAGAGTTTGACTTTTATTGACTTAAAAATAATGGGTCGTTACAAATTCTATCAAGACTAACACAAAGACCATCCAATTAGTGTGGCGGGATAGAAACTTCGGTATCTATCTTTGTTTGAACATAGTTCTAAGGAAGGGTGGTGCGTGTGTATGTGTGTAATAACTCATTAACGAATTCTCTAAAAAGAAAACTCTCTTGATCCTTCAAAGAAGATTAAGTCTCTAGAAAAATCTAACTCTTATGATAGGAGAAAAGCCAAAATCAGGCTAGACAAAGAAAAGAAGGAAACTGAAGCCAGAAAAGCTACATAATGGGTTGTTAGAGAAGCATGAGAAATAATGGTGCAAGATACAAAAGAAAAAGAATTGAAAGACGATGAAGAGAAGAAAATTACTCTTCAGAAGAAAGCTCTACAAGATCTTCTTGAAAAGAAAGATAAAGAACATCAAGCTAAATAAGCTACGAAAAAGCAGGCAGAAGATGCCAAATTAAAAGTTGCAGAAGAATTGTTGGAATAGTGTCTAAGGCTGCAACTATATTGGGCAAGTATTTGACCCGATTGTGCATGGTCCTTTTGGGTTGCCTTCACCATAGCAACTTGGTAGGATGATTTATTATGAGAGAATAGATATTATTAACATATTATGAGAATAATATAAGGAATAATAATATAGTTATTTGATTAATATAAGTCATAGATTAATTAGTGACTTAAGGAGATTAATTAAATAAGAGGGTATAAACTGTCAATTGTTTG